CCCTGTCCTGGGCCAACAAAATCCAGTCTCCTTCAACTCCTATCTCCCATAGATCCCGCCCGAGATTATCCTCCCATCTATGTCTAAGTCTCCCCAGAGGTCTCTTCCCCTCAGGCTTCCCGACCAATACCCGGTGCACACCTCTTGTCCCATCCATGCGCGCTACATGCCCAGCCCATCTCATTCTTCTCGACTTAATCACCCTGACAATATTGGGGGGAGGAGTACAAATTTTTAAGCTCATCATTATGCAGTTTTCTCCATGCCCCATCGTCTTCCCTCCTAGGCCAAAATATCCTCCTCAACACCCTGTTCTCAAACACCTGCAATCTGTGTTCCTCCCTCTGAGTGAGAGACCATGTTTCGTACCCATACAAAACAACAGGCAAAATTAGGGTACCCAGATTTGCCCAAGTGCAATTTTTGTTTATTGTGTCGTGACATATTAGGGTACCCAGATTTGCCCAAGTGCCATTTTTGTTTGTGTCGTGACACGTGAGGTGTAACAGAGCAGCTGTAAGCGAATCACAGAATGAGTTTGAGGATAATCAAGTCACTGCACTGGACGAATCACTTGGAACAGTTTGATCGTGAATTACACATCTGTGTAGCGTACATACAGCATTAGAATCTTGCTCTCTGTACCTGAATACGCTGAGTTTCTTGCAGATGATGAGGCAGATGGGTGGCTTGGGTGGCGGCGGCGGCAGTGACAGCAAGCCCACTTTCGACGACCTCGAGCCGGAGTCTGATTCGGACGACGAGGAACTTCCTGACCTGGAGTGATGGCCAGAATTCCAAGCAGCCAGAACCAAGCTTAACAGTCGTCGATATTTTTCCTCGTCAGTTGCCATTCAGAGCCTGAGATGGGAAAATGGACCAAAAAATTTAAAATAAGCCCATTAAGAGGCCCATTGTTCAACTGTAATCGTTTGTTAATAACAAGTTGGATACCTTCTTGACGCAGTTCAGACCGCTGTTGATACCTTTTCATGTGTGGCATTGCAAGAAGCCTACGAGACTCTGAAGAAATGAATTATGGTATATAAATACCTTGCAAGTGTGAAAACCTTGGATGCTTGCATTTGCCAGAAATGACAATTAAAGGGGTAGAAGTTTCAGTTCAAAGTAAAATTGTCTGTATAATTGTTTTGGTAAATTTTGAAAACTCTTATATAATGTGTTGTCTCATTTCACCAGTTGAATTCTCTTAACCTCGTAGTAGAATATTTTTAGGACTCGAGTTCTACGACCATAATATTAAATGCTCTTCGTTTCAATGGCAGTCTATCGCTTGGTAATTTTTTAATAATTGCTGCTATTGATTTCATTTCCTTGTAGTGTTTTCACCTTCTTGCATTCCTAACCCGCCTGTTTCTTATCTTGGCCAGTTTCCCAAACTTTTGGTGTGTCCTCCTCTGGAGCAGTTCATATTAAGGGCAGTGTCTTGTTGGCATTGCCCCTCCAGCCTCTGCCTTTACAGCGCTGCTCATTTAAACTGGAGTAATCTTGCTAGCAGAGGAGGAGACGAACCAGAAGACAGCTTGGCATTCAGACGTAGTTCCGTCAGTATGTGAAGACAAAACAATGACTGGCCACCAGCTCGTCTCACTACCATGTTCTCCGATCTATGTTATCAAGCTGTATAATATTATTTCATTCTTATGTTCAGGGACTGTAATTACCATTGTTAAATAAATTTCATAAGTAGAGATAAAGATGTGTTCCTTAAGTGACTGTATTCTTGTTTAATTAGTAAATTGAAGTATAGAGGGAAGAAAACATATTCGTAGGAAAGTAGCCATTGGTTTATTTTAATATTTAGTGAAAAGTACCTTGTTTTACTTACAGACTAAAATTTCAATGATTGGTTTGTTGATTGATTTGTTTCAGAGGATGAACAATGATGAAACTCTATCGATAAATTGCATAAAACCACACAAATGGTATCAAAAATTATATTCGAAATAAAAATATCGAAGCACTGGAAGATTAAGGACAAGATACGTGTGGGGAAAACAACAAAGGAGAGTTTTTTTGTAACTTCGATTTTCGAGGATGGGTCACGTGAAATGCTAAGAATTATCCAAACGTTTCGGCAAATAATTCAGCTGCCATTCTCAGGGTGTCTAATGGTAGGACCCTTTTTGAAGGCTTATACATGGCATGCAGTATGTGGTGAGTTATGTTTGACGGTGATGTTTATTGGAGTGGAAGTGCATTTTACAGAATAACTTTCTTCCTTATATTTCCCTTTCATTTAAAGTGTCTGAGATGCTGATACAAATGAATGTCGCATTACGCATGTACAACACCGTTAGGCAAAACAGTACAGAAAATAGATATTTTACAGCAGTGGTTTCAACCTGGGGAACGCGAAGACAATTTAGGGGGTACGCGAAATTTAAAAAATATATATTATTTTATGATAAACACTGAATAATCAGTAATGTAATTTATTTTAGATGTAGATTATATACTACGTATAACTTTCATTATACATCAACAACTTTGGGGGTACAGAGTTGAAGAGAAATTATATCTGGGGGTAAGCGAACAGAAAAGGTTGAATACTTCTGGTCTAGAGTGAAAAATCATTGCTGACATTTATGAAGCATAATGTTAAAATTTAACTGCAAATACCTGGATTAAGGTGGCTATCATAAATGAAAAAGCTTGATTTTAAACCGTACTGAAAAGGCGTGTTCCATAAAATTATCGCCCGAACTTGACGTCAAAACAATACAAAGCTTTCAGATAAGTGTGACCTTGACAGATGTCCCACAATCAGTGTGAAATGTAATACCATATTTATCTGAATGGCACATGGACATTTTTCGCAAACTGTTCACACAATAAACAATGCGTGTCTTATTCAAGGACTCGCATATTGCACAGTTGTGCCTTAAGGAATACACAATAGGCAGATGCAGACTTGGCAGCAGGAAGAAAGGAGTTGGGGTGTATTGTCGAACGTCAGTCACTGTAAGACGGTCTTTGCTGTTTAGCATTCTCAGCTGCATTATTCGATAATTCACAAATCGGTGCTGTTGAGGTCAACCATAATTATTACGTCCTATACTGTTACGTATGGAGTGTCGCGCTGTATGGAGCAGAGACTTGGACACTCAGGAAGAAGGAACAGAAATACCTGGAGAGTTTCGAAATGTGGTGTTGGAGAAGAATAGAGAAGATCAGGTGGACGGATCGAGTGACCAACGAAGAAGTATTGAGGAGAGTCAACGACGAAGGCCAGGTTGAAGGAAAGCGAGGACTGGGAAGAAGATTGATACAGCTAACCGACGACCTTAAACAAGGAAAGAAGATGACGTTCCAGGAATTAAAGCGAGAAGCCGAGAATAGGGACAACTGGAGAGCTCTTTTTGGGCAGAGCAATGGACCTGTCGTAAGACAGAACACTTAATAATAATAATAAATAATATACTGACTGCACTTGGCTCTTTACAGCTTGCAGATGGAAAAATAGGTGTTAGGATTTGAGGTTTTCACAGCGGCGAGTCTGAAGTCGGCTGTCTTAGGCAAAATAGATACTCCCTGGTCAAAAATAAACATTCTATGCAGCTGTGTTTGCTACACTGCTTCTTTCTGTAAAGTGCCAAGATAAAAGGACGGGCAATACAGCTGTTGGAAGTGAATGAGAAACAAACTAGGAAATGTTGCTGAAGCCAGAAAGTTCTAACTGCATTGAAGGCTGGAATAAATGAAAGCTCCTGTCTGCAAACCGGCAGTCATTGGCAGGCTTTTCGTGAGCAAAAAGCAACATTTACAGAGAACAAATGTGTCCTTCATATTTAAATGAATAGCAACAGTTAGGTTATGTTCTGTCAAGTGAAATGTGCCAGCTGAAATTTTGAAATAAGTCAGAATCCACGGCTTCAACATAAGCCAAAGGTTGGTTGCAGGAATTTTTTAAATGAAACAATTTCTGTTTAGAATGTCAAACTAGTATCGCACAAAGGCTTCATAATGCGTATGAAGAAAAATGTTCCTGTTTCATATAAGTCAATAGCATAGTTTGGGACACTGTTGACATCAATTCAGACGGCAGTGACAGGAGCAGTGAAGCATACCAGTAAGTACAAGAAAGACATCATGGTTGAAATAGTTAGTTGCTGGTTTCTCACCTTGGAAGCCTAGGTTCAAGCTCTGGTCAGTTCATGTGGTATTTGTCGTTCTAGAAAATGGCACTGCGACAGGTTTTTCTCCAAGTCCTCCCCTGTCAGTATCATTCCAGCAATGCTACGTATTCATTGATATATCACCTAGAGGATGAACAATGGGTCTGTTAGTGGCACGTTTCCATAGAGGCATAGTCCGATGCCATTGGAGCAAAAATGTTTTTATTAATTTTCCACGCTACTGTGGTTTTATCAGCCGTTGTGCATAACTGCACAGTTTCCAGAGTGGAACTAGCCATATCCCTAATATTAAGTTTACCCAATTCATTTTTTTTTCTCCTTAAAACCACTTTTAAAAATTTGGGTATCTTATTTGAAGGTCCGTGGTATTTGAATAAATGTAAATAAAAAAAGATTTTGACTTCTGACAAAAACTGAAGCACAGGTACAAACATAGAACACCCACGCACAGTAGATTCGATGGATGTCAAGTCATACATACCGTCTCTTTCCTGCAGACTGCTGACGTAAGTAGAACAGAGGCCAAACAGATGAAGCTGTAATCTACATGACTAAACCGGACTACAAGCCAAGAATTTTCAAAAATTTTAATAAAAAAATATAAAATAACTTAAGAAAAATGCTCTGAAAATACGAATCATCACGATGACAATTTTGGACAACTTTCCACAAGCAGCTTGCTGAGTTCTGTTTATAACTGAATAATTTGAAAATAACCCAGAATAGGTTAGACCACAAATGGGACACTCATTCCTGCAAACAAACAATTTTCAACCTGATAAGATGACTTTATTGACACCAAGAAATTGTAACATGATACAGTTATCAGCAAGAAAGAATGTTTAAAGCATGTAAGAAATTATATATTTAGGTACAAATCAGTCTTAGCGGGAGGAGGGATTTATAACATTTTTCATAAAACATGTGTATATACAACAAATGTGCACTCACACATTCACACACATCCTGTCTCCTCCCCAAAAATGAAAACTACATTAAACAAATCTGAGCCATACACAACACTTACCCTATTAATTGAAATGTATGCATTCTACAACATTCACACCCCCCCCCCTTCAAAAATACCACACGCAAAATCTCAGTCATACACAGCACTTCCCATTAGTATAACGTCTTACAAAAAACCTGACACAAAACTGAAACTTTCAGAATATGAACACCCAAAGTTGCTGTGTTTGACGGGGTAAATACATTAAGAACGTCATCATTTTTAAGCCCATGGTACAAAACAATTTAAAAAGACCTTGCATACCATGCAGTGTATTGATGAATAAAATCATGCATACAATGTATAAACAGTTTTTGTTTGTATGCATTATTTTATATATAATCAAAAAAATGTTACATGGTTAGTGAGATTTCAAGTTCTCAAGGTGACAAGTATGAAAAACAACTGTGTCTTCTGGGATATTGCACCATGCAGTCTCAGAAATTGACTGACTCATTGCCCTGATGATGGAGGCAGTAAGCACCCGTCAAATATCAATTTCTACAAAACTGCATGATAAAACAACCTAGAAGCCAAGTCATCTTCATGTTCCTGTTGTAATGCTCTTCACCTCTTGACTAGACATGATAACGCTCAAAAAGGTGGTGCCACAAGTAATTTTCATTAAAATAAATCAGAAAATATGTCTGAAATAACAATAATAACTTGTGTTATTGCAAGGGCTCAAAGCGTCTGCTTATCTGCATGCCAAATTACTGACCTTGCAACAGATGCCCTTCATCATTTGTCACCATCTCTCGACTGATTTCATATTTACCGTGCTGAAATCTGCTTTTCTGTCCTAGCAAAATATTATGTAATATTAAGACAAGCTCAAATTTTAATCACATCTATCAAATATATAAGCACTTAAGGGGGGCCCCCCACTTGATTAAAATGCCAACAAAAGTCAGGAAGCCTAGGATGATATATGATCCAAACTGTTCTATCAATTATGTTACAACTAAATTCACATTTCTGTTCAATATTGTAGTCTACTATAAAAGAAAATTGGTTAGGCACAGTTTATTCCTTCTTTGAGGAAAAGTCTGTTCCATTTCGCTAGACTTTGAACTCAGAAATGGACATTTACCCTTGAACCTAATTTACGTGTACACTTTGATTTCCAGGGAAAAGGCCTGCCCAGTTTCATTATTAGACACTGTATATAAAAAATACCACAACAGATGGAACCACTGGCCTCTGCAAACTCCTTACCTAAAGCTACAACAAAAACAGAATAAGACAAGAGTAACTCACTAAATACATTAATTCTAATTATCATAATAGCAAAGTTTCTCCTATATATTCATTAAAACATTGTAGGAACAATTCCTGAATATGAACTTGACTGCCCAATGGCAGACAGTTCTTGTTAGTCCGTTACACCAAACTCCAGACAAAAACATTCTCCAAATACTTAAAATTACTTGACTAACACAGACATGAATGAATATATTAATTAATGCCCTGGAGTTACTGAGATTTAATACTGATTAAGTTGTAAAAGAGCGCAAACTTTGATAATCCCACAATGATTAATGGTTTT